AAATTAATTTCTTGAAGGATCCTTGTGGAAATATCACCAATTATTAATTAAAGTATCCTCTTTTTAATGGAAAAAACCGTTTTGAAAAATCACTTTTAGTTCTTGAGAAATAAATTTTTGAAATAATCGACTATTTTTTCGAATTTGCAATTTTCGCCGATTAAGTTTTAAAAATTCGTATAAAATCCACTTCTTGGAATATGAGTATGAAAATTACCCAAAGTGTTAATAAAAGTGTCCTCTTTCGCCAATTTTTTCGAATTAAAAACATTTCATCATTAACAAAGTACACCGGGAAGTAATTTTTTATTAATCATTAATAACGGTGGGTCATCATATTACACAAAAACTGAAATAGGTTATTTTAGTGGTAATAGATTATAACAGATGGCACTAATATAAGGAAAAAAAGTTAGGCGTGTAAATTGTTTGTTAAAATTTGAATAAACAGGTGGCGCTAATAAGTAATTTAAAATCAAAAGAAATTAAGAATCATAATCGGATGTTTATTAAAGTTACCGTGAAGCCAAAAACCGGCCTTTAAAGGTTAAAACTTTCGGAACGAAACGCTAACATTTTACCTAAAATTTTGGATTTTATACGAATTTTTAAAACTTGTGTGTAACGATCCCATTGTCCAAAATATTTTTAGTCCATACGTATAAAATAGTGGTTTTGGCCGGATATTAAAAACCTATTAGCACTCCACCATTCACAGGAATTAGTATCTCTTTTAGGTGTTAGACACTGCAGATAATAATCAAGTTCAACCTCAATAGGACTATTTTCATTGAATGCAACTTTATTTATTAATTTAGTATCCTACTTTTAATGCAAAAAGCCGTTTTGAAAAATCACTTTTAATTCTTGTGAAATAAATTTTTGAAATGATCGACATTTGTTCGAATTTTGCAATATTCTCCAATTAAATTTTAAAAATTCGTATAAAATCCACTTCTTGGATTATGAGTATGAAAATTGCCCTCTTTCCAATGAACCAACCCATTTTGAAAAATAGCTTTTAGTTTTTGAGAAAACAATATTTGAAATTTTGATAAAATTTTCGATGTTGCAATTTTCATCGATAATTTTCAAAATTTGCTATAAAATTAATTTCTTGAAGGATCCTTGTGGAAATATCACCAATTATTAATTAAAGTATCCTCTTTTTAATGCAAAAAGCCGTTTTGAAAAATCACTTTTAGTTCTTGAGAAATAAATTTTTGAAATGATCGACAATTTTTTCGAATTTTGCAATTTTCGCCGATTAAGTTTTAAAAATTCGTATAAAATCCATTTCTTGGAATATGAGTATGAAAATTTCCCAAAGTGTTAATAAAAGTGTCCTCTTTCCAATGAACCAACCCGTTTTGAAAAATAACTTTTAGTTTTTGAGAAAACAATATTTGAAGTTTTGATAAAATTTTCGATGTTGCAATTTTCATCGATAATTTTCAAAATTTGCTATAAAATTAATTTCTTGAAGGATCCTTGTGGAAATATCACCAATTATTAATTAAAGTATCCTCTTTTTAATGCAAAAAGCCGTTTTGAAAAATCACTATTAGTTTTTGAGAAATAAATTTTTGAAATA